TACTTGAATGTTTCGGGTGTTGCTAACATGTTATAAGTGGTTGGTACAATTGCGAGGGTTAGCTAAGCAACTTAGGGGCTTTATTAAGGGGGTTTAGCGAAGTTAGGCTAAGGGGTTAGCAACCTGGAAACTAAGTATATCAATGGTGAAATTTATGGTTATGTAATAACAGAACATGAAGATTTGAGAAGTGAAATCTCAAAACTGTTTTCGGTAATTTGCGAGTTAAAAGCAAAGAAAACAAAAGTCTACAGCACAAAAATCAAAGAATGAACAAAGCGAGAATACAGATCTCAGAGGGTTGAAAATTAGAATCAACCCAACTAGCTGTTCGAGAAGCAAACAAGCATGCAGCTCAACTGGCTCCAGCAAAAGCATGCCTGCCTGCAAAAGTACCGTCCAAATCCCATTCGTCGTCTGCGAGATGCATGACATGGAGTATTGTTTTGTTGCATGCATGCATGGCAGCATGTCACGGAGCATTGCATGCTGCATGCATGCCATGCACATGGAGCCTGCTCGAAGGCTTGCATGAGGCTTGCCATGAAGCATTGCATGCTGCATGCATGCCATGCACAATCGAGCATGGAGGCATTCTTGCTACAATCCTGCTGCATGCATGGCATGCATCATGGAGCACGATCGCATGCATGATGCATGTCCATGGAGCACTGCATGCTGCATGCACTGCATGCTGCATGCATGACATGGAGCATGCATGGCATGCATGGAGCATTGCATGCTGCACATGGAACATGAAGGCTTGCATGATGCTTGTCAATGGAGCCTTGCATGCTGCATGCATGCCATGGGTACGAAGCATGAAGGCATGCATGATGCATGTCGTGCATGCATGCTATGCACAACATCGGACATGAATGCATACGTACTACAATCATGCTGCATGCATGCAAGAATAAACACAGATCGTGGAGCATCAGTTGCATGCATATATAAGCATGGCTGCTGCGATTTTCTTGCCGGCAACATCTTCAAGCCATGCTGTTGCACAGGTGGCGGGGTAGCAGGGTGGTGAGAATGCCTGCATTGTTATTGTAAACTACACTGCACAGGAAAGCATCAACCTGCATGATGGATAGGGCTTCACCTGCAATCCTCCACTTGGCCACTTGCTTCACTGCATCATGGGAAACATACTCGCATCTGGACACAACACCTGCAACATAGCCGTCCACTTCGATAAGCCATTGGAGTCGGCCACAGCAAAAGGGGATGGGTGATTCATTGTCGGCAGCTGCATGGTGCAAAACAACATCACCGGTATGCAAGACAGCACCAGAAGCTAGCCGGCACTCTTTGCTGCAGTTGCAGGAATCACTCTCAGACACGATGTTGCTCTGCAGAAGTTGTGCCATTACTTTGGCGGATACGGGGTGAGGCTGCAGGAGATGAGGGCCAGCTCGAAATGGAGTGTCGCTCGAAAGCAAGGCAAGCTGTTCAGCATTTGTCTCCTCCAATAACCCTTGTTCAAAGTTGGTGGTGTTGCTGGTAGCTGTGCCGTATTTTCGCACTGATTTGTGTTTTCGCTCCAGTGTCCAGCATGCTGGCATGCATCGAAATCGTGACAGACATGCCTCAAAATGTAAACACCAATGAAACTTCGGAGCCATCTGGTCTCCCCACCCGGCGGCGACGGTGAGGGACAATGCTCGCTCGACAGTCTGCAACAAAAGGCCTGCTGGAGGCAGTTGTAGTGTACAAGCTATCAAGATGGCCAAGACTTCCAACCAAGACAAGCAAGCTTCCTTTGCAAGAGTGTCATCCGGGCTGGGGCAGCAGGTATGCAAAAAATATTCTAAAGGCTTTGAAATTGCTAAAACCTCAGAGGCTGAGCATTTGATGTAATTTGCCTTCCTGTGTGCCTTCATCTTCTCCTGGCTGAACAGCTTGTGCAGTGCCGCTGCTTTCTGGGCTTTCGGCCATTGCCAGAGTTGCAAGTAGTCATGAAAGGTAGCAGCTTTTCCAGTGGCTTCCAGCACCCACAGGATTATGCAGTTGAGGACTCCCATGCTGCATAAAGAATGCATCCAATCAAAGCAATATTGCGAAGCCGGCCGCAATACATTCAGACTTCGTAGAACAGTGCTCATCATCAGGGCATGCGGCGAGAAAGACCACCCACAAGCCTGTTGCCACTGTTGGAACTTGCTTTTGGACTCTGTCCGGTGTCTTGATTCCATTCGTTCCCACGATTCCAAGAGCTCGTCGTCTGTAGCTTGATGGCATGCATCCCATGTCAAATGTTTTGCCGATATCTTGACATCATCCTCAGAGCTTTTTGACCGTAGGGAAAAGATGTTCTTACAAAGCATGCAAACTCTCGAACCGGCATCTTGCCGGTTCGAGTATGTGTGTTTCTGTGCACTTCCGTCCTGAAGTGTCATAGCAAGTGTAAAGAATAGTCTGATGCTTTTGCTCGGCCTCTTCAATGCCAAGCCATGCTCTGGATTTCCGAACTCGTTGGCAAACATGGACTCAAGCAGCAACCTCAAACATTGGCCTATACCAGCCGACACCTTCTGCACCAGTTCGGTTCTGACCGCCATCAGTGTAAACCAATGATGCTCGTTCGAAAGCAACTTCGGTGACAGCTCCAGAAACGAGAAATACACCGCCCAGACTTTTCGCCCTTGGGAGGACAACTGATTGCCCGGGTGTACTTCATCGGAATAAAGGACCCCCCGCCAGGGGGATCCTATGCTGGATGGTGATGCTTCGTGCACATGATTCAACATTTGGTAAAAATAACCACCTGCTGCATACATGCCCTGAATAAGACTCGCCAGGTTGATGCATGGTATGTTAAGGTCTGCACCGGCCAGTGACTTCGCCGGAAGTTGTTGCACAAGGGCCCCATAGGCAGTGCAACTTGCAATGGCCTGTTTCACTGCTTGCTTCATGTCATGCCTCGAATGCTTTTCTGGAATTCCTTCCTTTTCGACCAAACTCAAGATGCAACTCAAAGCTGAGCAAGTAACAAAAGGCAACTGCCTTCTGAACCCATCCAATCTCTGTAGTTTGGCCGAGCGAGAGCTTTCTGCTTCGTGCCCCCGCTGTTGCTTCTTTCTAGGTGCCGAAGATGTCGATGCAGCTTCCATCTTGCTTCGAAACAATGCACAAAGAATGCTTCATGCACTCTTTGTGTATACAGTTCTGTCTATGATGAAGGTATAATATATGTCTCTATATATGTGCATGCATGTGTAAGCTTGTGTGTGTGTATGCATTTACAAATATACGTGTATGTATATATGTGTGCATGCATGGCAGTATATATGGATATGTATGTACATAAATGTATCTATATGTATATAGACCTGCAGGTTGTATGTATGTATGTATGTCTGATGTATGTATGTGCATGCATGTATGCATGTATGCATGTATGTTCAAGTATATATGCTGCAACGAAGGAACCTGTATGTATATACCTATATGGGTAAGTATGCTTGCATATACATATGCATATAGACACACGAACACACGAAAGCGCTTTCATATATGCAGTACAGAGGGTTGCATACCTTTCACATGCAAGTTACTCTTACAAAAACTTCGGGGCAAATGTACCTTACAAACACTCATAGTCTGAAAAGAACCTACGTAACATTGTATAAACCGCAAACACTGAACCGTAATACTAAAAAATCCTTACAGATAGACTTTATAGTCTTCCTTGTGCCCGATTGCACATGCATGCACGGCCTGAACTGATATAGCCATGCACGGACATGCTCATGTAGCATCTGAAGGCAACATGCAGACATGGCAACAACACAAGCTGCAAGCATTCATGTTTGCCTGGCATTGCAAAAGTCCCCGGCACGATCATGTCATTCCTGACTTCGCAGCATGCATGTATGTGCACACCCTTGCCCCATGAGTGGATCAACTGTACGATCACTCCAAGCTGCATGCAGTTTCTGCAAGCAAGCTAAAACAACAATCTAGCAAAGCTTTCGCTTTTGCTGGTGCATATAAGCCTTCCAAGCTTCTCTACCAACCAACCTCATCCCCGCAAAGTTCGGGTTCTCGCAAACATCACAGCCGCTACCTCGGCATCGCTTGCAACCGTAGCCCTCTGCAGCTTTCTTAGCAGCAGGCTTTTTCATCACTTTCTTCGCCTTCGTCTGATGCTTGTCCTTGTCGCCGGTGGTCTGCTCATGGGATTGTTCTTTTTGCCGGTGCCCTGCTTCTTCATGGGATTCTTGTTCTTTTTGCCGGTGCCCTGCTTCTTCATGGGATTCTTGTCCTTTTGGCCGGTGCCCTGCTTGTTGGAATTCCTCCCATTTTTGGTCTTCTCTTGAACCTCGATCATTGCCTGCTTCTCGTACTCCTCCAACGACAAGTTACCCGAGCCCGCTGCATGCCCCTTCTGCTGCAAAGCAGGCGGGTCCTGCATTCCGGTGACGGGTGCTGCTGCTGCTGCTGCTCTGCAGCTGCAGACGGCTGGTTCGTTAGTGGCAAAGCTAGCTGCTTGCTTACATCCTCCTTAGACAAGCCCTGCATGCCGTCGCCTGGCCCATGGTTGCCATCCTTCACATGGTCAAAGAAAGTGATCTTGGCACCACTGCTCGAGCTTTCTTTGCCACCCTGCAGGGCGGCCTGCCAGTTGCCACCCAACAAGCTTTTGAACAACTCGAGGAGTCGGTCCTCAACCTTGTCCACCAAGGGTTGAAGCTTCGTTTTCGAGCAACTGGAAAGGAGCTTGCTGGTGGATCGCATCGGGCACTGGGCTCCTAGCTCGAAAAGCTGTGGGAGATCTACCATCGAAGGTGGGTCTTTGGGATAGGCTCTGGACAGCCAATCTTTGTCCAGGTCTGTAGGGAGGTGTGGGTACTTCTTCAAGCCCGAAACCATGCAGCCCGAGGGCTTGTGGGCAGCGAACAAGAGGCCGATCTGTTGTGCCAGACCATATATTTCGTCGGCACTGGGTTTGCTTTTCCCGTGCCACATGATGGACTGTACGATTAATGCGACGGCGGCCCGCTTCGTTGTTTCTTTGAGAGACTTCACACCGAGGGCAGACAACCTTCTGATGATGATATGGGGAACGTCATACAAGTTTCCTTGCATTACATCCATCATCTCAGCCTTGGTCAAATAGGCGGGGAGATTGACCAAGGTCTGTGGTGTCTTCACAATGGCAGACCCACCTTCGTTTGTCGTACCTGTGGATGCACGAAGCAAAAGCGAATCCTTCAATATGGTCTTCAGCTCATCTGTCAAGGTACTGTGGTCAACCTTCTCAAGCATGGCACAATAGTCGCCAGCAGTCAGCTGGCTGTGATCACACTTTGTCAACAGAGCCTTGACCAGCCCCTCCTGCAGACCCTGGTTTGGGTTGAAAGCAAGCAGCTTCTCGATGTCCCCTAGCTCCTTGACAAAGTCAGTGCCATTCCATGCCATGATGGAGATCAAAGGCTCGTGGGGCCACGAAGCAACACACCCAAGAAGCCAAGAAGCTACATGCATGTTCATGCATCCATGCAACAAAATAAAGGCATGCCTCAAGCAATGTGAGAGATAATGCGGCCATGCCTTCATGCCTTCAGTGCACAGCACTCAATCTTCAACAGTGCACCATGCTCTCTTGTGAGTGTTCCTTCTTCTCCCTTCTGTGTATACCCTGGTTTGGCCTTCTCTTAGGCTATTGTTCTTCCCCCGCATAAAGACCGGGTCTCTGCCAATACATGAGTAAGTACATAATATGCGACAAAGCACTGTAATTCAACATAATACACAGTAACAATATCATATATAGTTTGATACGTAGTATTATTCAATGGGGTTCAATAATGTGTATATATATATATATACATATGTATATATATATATAAGTCATGTATACATATATAGATAAAATGCTATATGTGCATACATATAATTCTCATATATATATATATATATATATATATATATATGCATATGCATATGCATATGCATATGTATATGTATATGTATATGTATATGTATATGTATATGTATATATATATATATATGTAACTGTATATGTATATATGTATATGTATATGTATATGTATATGTATATGTATATGTATATGTATATGTATATGTATATGTATATGTATAGGTGGTGGTGGTGGTGGTGGTGGTGGTGGTGGTGGTGGTGGTGGTGGTGGTGGTGGTGGTGGTGGTGGTGGTGGTCGTGGTGGTGGTGGTGGTGGTGGTGGTGGCGGTGGTGGTGGTGGCGGCGGTGGTGGTGGTGGTGCATGCTGGTGGTGCATGGTGGTGGTGCATGGTGGTGCATGGTGGTGGTGGTGATGGTGGTGGTGGTGGTGGTGGTGGTGGTGCATGGTGGTGGTGCATGGTGGTGGTGCATGGTGGTGGTGGTGGTGGTGGTGGTGGTGGTGGTGGTGGTGGTGGTGGTGGTGGTGGCGGTGGTGGCGGTGGTGGTGGTGGTGGTGGTGGCGGTGGCGGTGGGGGTGGTGGTGGTGGTGGTGGTGGTGGTGGTGGTGGTGGTGGTGGTGGTGGTGGTGGTGGCGGTGGCGGTGGTGGCGGTGGGGGTGGTGGTGGTGGTGGTGGTGGTTGGAGGGGTGGGTGGGTGACTGGGTGGGGTGGTGTATATTGTTTTTTTCCGGGTGTGTGGGTGGTGCTAAGTGCATGGGTGTCACAGTTATGATGGCTTCCAGAGCCAATCCCATGAGATTAGTTTACTAGTGAAAGGATAGTATGATGCATGAATACTAAGCAACCCACCAAGCACACGAATTTAGCTGGATGAATTCGGTGCCCAACCCTCGGCCACCGAATTCAGCTGGATGAATTCGGTGGCCGAGGGTTGGGCACCGAATTCAGCTGGATGAATTTGGCGGCCGAGGGCTGGGCACCGAATTCATCTGGATGAATTCGGTGGTCCAGGGTTGGGCACCCAATTTAGTGGGATGAATTTGTGCACCCTGTTGTGTTGCTGGCCTAGCCTGTCCCAGGCTTCGGCACACATCGCGAAAAAAACCAACCACATGCCACGCCATGCAGCCCGGAGGCTCACAACTGTGTCGTGTCAAGCCAAGAGCATGCAAGCACAAGCTGGATTTGCTGGAGGTATTCGGGGGCTGTTTGAAGGTTCCGTGTCCATGCACGAACATGCATGTAGCCTGCTGGCTCCCAAGCTCGCACGTGCAAAAGAGCAACACAATCATGCAGCCCAACTGGCTCCGTCTTGTCATGCCAAACAAAACAACAACCAAAACACATGGCTGCAACTGCAACACACTAAATCCAGTCGAGTTTCTGTGGCTCGCCGTAGCCATAGAACATCATGGCCATGCAGGTCTCGCCAGCATCTCCAGGAAACCACTGCCAGAACAGGTCCTGCTTGCAGCGGCTCATTCTCTCCTCGTCGTAGAGGTCAGCAAAGCTATCTGCAGCAGTCGGAGCCGGCGGCGGCTGGGGAACATCAGCAGGTGCAGCTGTCGGCACAGCAGGAGGCACCGGAACATCAGCAGGTGCAGCTGTCGCCACAGCAGGAGGCACCACAGGAGGTGGCGGTGTCGGCACCGGTGCTGCAGCCATTGCATCCGAAGAGGAGCCGGCCATCCTTAAATAGTATGTAATGTATGATGCATGCATGATGCACACGTATGCAGCATGCATGCGATGCTCACCTGCAAGTTCTGCCTTGAGCAGCTTCCCGGCTGCCTGTGCATACACAAACATGAGTTCCATGCTGCGTGCACAGCCACTCACTCAATCAGGCACTCCAACCTGCTGCTCTGCATGCTTCTGGCAAACAACACTGGCGAACAAACTGCACTCAATGTGGGCTGCCTGCACTGTCTGCATGCTGCACTACACTCTTGTATTTTTTGCTCGAAGAGCCATTGCACTCCACAGCAATCAGGAAGGGCTGCCTGTGGGCCCGGAAGAGGCTCCCCCTATACAGCAGACGTGCAATCGCCCCTGCACTCGACCAGGAAGAAGTTTGCATGCTCTGTATGTATATATATATATGTGCACATGCAATGCAAGTCTCCTATATATAGTGCATGTTACATGATGCATTTGCATCGAGTAGCAAGAGGATTGCAAAAACACACCAGGGGTGCCCAGCTGCTAGCAGCATCAGACTAGAAGTCATACTGCTCGTCGAAGCCCTGGTCCGTGACCCTCTGTACGTGGTTCTCCAGTAGATCCTTGAACTGCTTGTCGCCCGTGCAGAACCTGAGATAATCATTTCGAGGTTTGGTTTGCTGATGTGGGTTCAGGGTTTGGGGTTCAGGGTTAGGGGTTGTGGGTTTAGGGTGTGTGGGTGTGTATCCACGGTTCATTATCCTTTCTAGGGTGTATGTATGTTGCCGGCTCTTGGCTCGGCCAGGTTGCCGGCTATATGGGTTCCATATAGGGAAAACAAGACCTCTATGCGCTTTTATTCCTGCCCTCTAGGTGTATCGGAGACTAAAGACCTAGGTTTATCTAGGAATCCGAATCTGAAGCTTATGGGTTCCTTGCACCGGGAAACACACTGTTATAGGGCTTGGTGGTTTGGGAAGTTGACGTGCTGTTGCTTTGGCTTTTGGGGCTCATGTGCACAACCGGCAACACCATGGTTTCGGAAAGGCACTTGTCCACCAGGTAGTTCAGCCTGTCCTGGTCGTTCATGATCACTGCCTGGGCTGGGCCACTGCATTGCAAGCTGTTTCATACATTTTTGCACGAAACGTGTTCGTGCATATGTAGCTATATAGCTCCCATCAACCAACATGAAGCCTGCATGCATGCTTTCAAGTCGCCTGGGTTTTGTATTCACATGAATGCAACCCATGTACATGCATGTGTTCATATGGCATGAATGCAACCATGCGCATGAATGCAACCCATGCATTGTGTTCACATGACATGAATGCAAGCCATGCATGCAACTGTGCACCAAAGCTGCTCCAGCCATGGCCACCGCTTTGGGCTTCCACCCACCATGGTGACTCTGCCAGGAACCCACGAGGCCTCGCGAGCCCTTTGCACCACCTGCTGGAGGACGTGGTGGTGCCGGTGGGGACGGTCCCATAGGCCGTGGTGCCGGCGGAGGGTTCACCTCCGAAAACCCGGGTTTACATGTAGGGTTTATGGGGTTTTACAAAAATTGAGAGTTTTGGGTTGATACCAAATGTTTCGATATCATCCTGGCCTCGCCCACTCGCCTCCTCTTGGATGCATCTTGAAGCTCCAGCTGCAGCGACTCATTGTGCAGCTTCACCTGCTGCAGCTCAGCCTCCAAGACTTTCTTCTGGAAGAGCAGCTCCTGTATGCACTCTTTCATAAAGGTGCAAGCCCCCTGGCCTCGTACTCGCACGATTCCCGAGCGACCACGATTCCACCATGGCGAAAAGACCGATCCCACTGGTCTTCGCCGTTCACCGCCACCCTCGATGCTGCACACCACTTCCACACCATCCCAACAGCCGGCAACTGACTCATCGGCGATGTGGTCGGCGACGAGGTAGGACCCGGTCTGGTTCGACCAGAACATATACCAGTGAGACCCGGGCTTCTTGAGAATCAAGCCATCATTGACCTCGACGTTCTGCAGCACCCAAGGGCCAACCAGGATGTCGAGGACATTCCTTGGCTGATGCACAGGACCATGCAACATGTCATGCCATGCCATGCATGCATGCATGCAGCCCAACTGGCTCAGCAACAAACAACAAGCAGCCCAACTGGCTCTATATATAGTACATGTGAATATGCATGGGGTGAGCACACGGTGTTCAAGAACATGCAACAAGTAGCCGAACCGGCTCCACAAGAAGTTGCCAATTGAACCACACGTGGCAAGAAGCTTGTTTTGTCCCGTCGACACGAACCCCTGCAGCCGACAGGTTCAAAGCAGGCAATCCTTGCATGCCCTGCTTTTCGGAAAACTATTTCTTCAGCTTGGCAAATTTACCAGTAGCATGATAGCCCCTCCGGCTGGAACAAGCACATGACTCACAATCCTCAGCCAAATACTCTATAAGATTAACCATGTCTGGCTCCTGCAACAACACAGCCGGAGAGGACTTCAGTGAAGACATCATGAAACATGCTTCTTTGCCATTCGGCAAAGTGACAGTTTTGATTGTGCAAGGCAAGACTGCACTAAGCTTTCTTTTCTTGCTGGCCTTCTGTGGCTCCTTGTTGTCGTCGAACAAGTCGGGTCCTGCATCCTTGGTCTGCTTGGGGCTGAACTCTTTGCAGAGCAACTCTAGCAAGGTCTTCAAGTTGGCACTGCCGGCGATGGACATGTTCTTGGTAGCCATAGATGTGCAAGGGCAAACTAGTTTGCAAATTGAACGGTGGCTGCCAATGATCTTCACGAAGTGCTGCTCGCCATCTTGCACAACCAAGTCGGACGGCAAGGTGATCACATGCCCCTTGTGTTTCACCTGAAAAATCTTCTCGATGGAGAA